TTTTTTGTGTTTGTTCTTATCTTAGTGGTATTGAGAGACTTGTATTCCAGCTCACTGATTCTTCCTTCCATCTCATGTATTCTACTCCTGTGCCCTTTCATGGAGTTTTCTATTTCTGCCATTTTGTTGTTGATTGTTTGGACCTCTTTCTGTAGGTTTGGGATTGTTACCTATGCTGTATCTATCTTGTTTGATCCTGTAGCGCTTTTCTGACTTCTTCCTTAGTTTCCTCAACTCCATTGTAAAGTGTTTTGAGACATTTTATAATAATTTTTCTGAATTCTTTCTCAGGTATTTCCAAGGCCTGCCCTCTTTCCAGCATGGAGAGAAGGTCTACTTCTGGTTTATTTGTCTCAGATATTTTATCTTTTTTTCTGGACATGTGCCGATATGGTCATCTGCTTTTGCTTCTTGGACATGTTTAAAAAATATGGAATGCTTCACCTTGCGCAGGGGCCATGCTAATCTTCTCTGTATCCTTCCAATTTTAGTATATGTGCTGCCGAAGCGAGCACTCTGCTAACCTTTTAATAAAGTGTTGTTGTTAAGTGCATTCGAGTTGGTTCTGACTCATAGTGACCCTTTATAGGGTTTTTCAAGGAGTGACTGTTGAGCTTGAACAGCTGTCTGCTATAAATTATATATATAATAAAATAATCTACTTTGTTTATTTTATTACTGATATATAATTTATACAACATTAAGATGTCCTTTTAACAAATACTTGTTGTTGTTAGGTGCCATCGAGTCAGAACTGACTCATAGCAACCCCATGCACAGCAGAATGAAACAATGTTCAATTCTGGGCCAATCTCACTACCGCTGCCACACTTGACGCCATCAATGATGCCACCTGGCTTATCCATCTTGTTGGTGGACTACCTCTTTTTCTCTGACCCTCCATCTTACCCAGCATGACATCCTTCTCGAGCAACTGTTCCCTCCTGACAATGTGTCCAAAGTATGAGAGACAAAGCTTAGCCATCCTGGCCTTCAAAGAGCACTCTGGCTGCACTTCTTCCAAAACAGAT